ATCAGGGCTTTGACATATGAATTTTGGGGTTGGGAGACACAAACATTCAGTCCATAACTGCAGCACACTAACGGAATTCATAACTTGAGAGAAATACTTCTAGAATTTCAGGGCTTGAAGGTCACGTCATGCAATCATGCTTATATTCTACACAAGGTGTCGCCCAGCCATTTCCTAAACCTCTCCCCCTCAATGAAATGTGCTGCACCTCTAGAGGCACCTGACAGCAGATGTGTTAGAAATGAAGGGCCTCGAGGCACAGCCTCAGGGTACCCTAGCCACATAGATCACACTCATCCTTCTTCCACAGTACAGCCATTCTGCACTCTGAACACAGATTCTTCCTCATCACAAAAATAACACAAAAAGGAATCTGAGGCACATGCAATATAATCTGAGCTTATAAATCAAGTGGGACAACTTACCTATCATGGTGACGTGCATCCTTGACTGCTATCATCAGAGGCAGGTGTCTGGGAGGTGGCCAGGACAGGCCTGACCCAGAGCAGCACTTGTATCATTAAATGGCACTCAGAGGGCGCACCTCCAAGCAACTGGGACCCTTATCCAGAACACCCCGTCCATTCCCTCAGCACAGCCACTCTGGGAGAGTTCCCTAGTGTGCTCTGGCACTTTCTTCACTAAATTTGTATGGAGCACTTGTTGAGGGCAAGACGTGATGGAAGGCAAGAGGAAGGAAAAATGAGGGCTGGTGAAACCACTGATTCTCCCTTCTCTGGCTCCCACCACACAGCTTTTCTAGCCCAAAGTCACAATTAAATTGAAACTGTCTTTCGCTGTGCGTCACTTATTTTCCCCCTACCCAACTGAATCTCAGGGGAAGCAGGCCTGCGGTATTTTAGAAAGGCTGAGTAGAAGTATCAGGCCTAACCAGACAGGTGCATGTTTTAGTTCCTACATTCAGTCCTTAGTATCTCACTGTCTAAAAGCCTTCAAAATGCTCCCAGGCACAACTCAGAAGAGTCTCCTTGCCACTCCCTCAGGAGTGTTTCTGCTTGTAATTCTCACTAGCACAGGGCAGATCTGGACCAATGAGTGGCTGCGGACCACAGGCTGCCGCAAAGACTACCGAAGTTGCCCTCCACCTTGACCATAGCATCAACCTTGCTATGCGCCCGCCAGACCACACTACTTCTGCAGTGACCCTCAACCTGTGATTGTGGGCAGACAGACCAGGATCTGGTGAATGAGCATGACAGAGTCCCTTCTGCTCTCTGTCCCCAACACAGTCCCCACCAGCCCAGGCAGCCCCACACCAGTGCCTATCACGTGGGACCTGTGTGAACTGCTGTGGGAGGGGAGGGACCAGAACCTCCGAGGAGTGGACGCTTCACCTGCAGCCACCATGCTGCCACCCGGCAGGGCTTGATAAAGGTCAGCTCGCTGCCATGCCCATGGGTCTCTGTCCCTCTTTTCTGAGAAGAGCCCAGTGGGCTGAACTACTAAGAGAACGGGCCAAAGACTAAAGGGAAGCCTTTAATATGAAGCCAAGTATTTTATCATATGAGGACATTCCCTCTCTCTAACCTGCAACACTCCCACCCCCACAGAGGACCTGCTCTTCAATCTAAAACACAATCCATGCACAGTTTTGATTTAATGGATTACCTTTAAAGTAAAAAATCATTTATTTAAAGGAAAAATCACCACAAAGTTTCAACTTGAATCCTATTTTACCAAACACCAGTTGACAGAGAATTTAATTTTGGGGAAGTCACTGGAAAATATAATTTATTTTACGCTTGAGGGGATTTTATATCACAAGAGATGAATTCTTATATATACCAGTTTATCATACAGGTGGAAAAAGGAAAAACATGTAATTACGGTTGATTTTCTCGTTTCTAATTTTATATATATACACACACAGCCCAACACAAACAGGAAAACAATGGGATTTGCTGTGCCCTCTTTCACGTGGGGCCCCTGGACCCTTACTTTGGCTTCCACCTCTCCATGTGACTATGCCGCTAAAGCTCCAGCAGCCACATGTTGTCTCGCACATCTCAGCTTCAGCCAACACTGCTGCACACACTTGGAATCCTGACTCAGGGGCCAACTTTGCCCTGAAACTCTTACCGTTCCTGAGTCAGAAAAAAACCCTTCCTTCTGCCTTCCCACAGCATTAGGCTTTAGTATACACTTCGGACACTGCCCAGGTTTCATGAATCCTGTATTAGGAGGGTTATGCGTTCAACTTCTCCACTAGACTGTGCTTCCAGAGAAAAGATTCTTAAGCCCTACGTGTGTCTGACACCCCATTGCCAAGGTACAGCATCATGCACACCAGAATCAATCAACAACGTCTGATGATGCCAAAAGCTATCACCTTTCATTCACTCAACAAATGTTTATACAGTAGTTTCAATCTCCATGCAAAACATGCATAGACAGGTTATAAAGCTCTGTATTAAGTTCAACAAAACAGTATTCCAAGCACCAGAGAGGGAAGGAGTAATTATCAGCAGAGGGAGGATGAAGCCATGTTTTAAGTCTGCAGGCCTCATCTCAGCGTCTTCCTGGGGCTTGTGTTCATTGACCAATATGGTGGGCAAAGTGCCAGCTCCATTTCAATTACTTCACTCTCCCTTTATTGTTGTTCTCATCTCTTTTGGCTGAGTGCATACTACTAACTACACAAAATTAAATGCTGCATAACATGATCCCTCTCACTGTACCAACTCCATGTATTAGTCTATGTACCTCTCCCCTCTTCTCAAAAGCCCTTCTTCTGGTTTTATCTAAATGTATACCTGATCTAATAGGTCTTCCCTGGTCCTGTTAGCTTCATCCTACATGTCCGTCCTCCCCTGGAACTCCTGAAAACACTTCAGAAAACATGGGAGTCTGCTCGATAGCTCCTCACCCAAGTGCCTGCCAACCTTCACCAGCCTGGAGCTCATAGCTCAACACCTGTCTGGGTGCTGACTTACACACAGCTGAATGGTGTTACCTGCTAACAGATATGTTCTAGTGCCCAACTGCATAGTAAATTGCCACAGGGCAGGGAGAAGGCAGGGCAAGAACAAGGTCTCAAAATCCTTTCCCACCTCCCTCAGCACACAGTGCTATGCACACAGCACGACCTCAGACTCTTGCTAGGTAAAACCACTCCCAATACCCCAAAAATACCTCTCAGCCCACCAATTTAGATGCATCTAAGGCATTACAGGTGCAGGTGCCTTAGAGTCCCTCTAGTACATGCGCTAGAGGTGGAGATTAGTCATAGAGGGTGACTAACTCCTCCCTCCTGCCTTTCTGTCCCAACCAGGTACCCAAGACTTGCACCTCCAAGACAGGGACCATGCCTCTTTTACTCCCGGGTGCTTGGAGGTCAGCACTGAGTTCAGCACACAGCCAGTACTGAAGGAGGAATTGACTGAAGGGAGAGATTATCTCCATGACTCATGCTACTTGGTGGTTTCCTTTCAGCTGGAAGCCTCAATTCACTGTCAAATGGAAAGTTAAAGAAAATCCCGATGACTATGCCTATGCAAATGCAAGAAAACGAAAAACTTATTTTCCACCATGAACTTGGCAACTTCCTGCGAAACTGAACAACTTAATGCTGCAGACTGCAAAATCACACTCATCGTCACTCTTTCCTAATCAACTCTTCCCTCAACTTCACAATTCCCACCAACACCACACTCCAATCATCCAGACATACAACCTCCACAGCGCGTTCAACCAGTACTGCCCTTCATGGCCTATGAAAAACTAGGTACTCAAGTGCTGCTTATTTACTCCTTGATCTCACAGCAATCACCCACCTGTTTTCTTCCACTCTTCACACCTGTGCACAAGACTTCAACTGATGCCTTGCTCTCTGGCACCCAGCCCTCCAGGCCCCATCCTCTCACCTTCTTCCCAGACCCTAAATGCCACCATCAGGCTAGTATTTACTTAGTGCTGTTTTCAACCAGTCTGTCCTCTGCTCAAACAATAACTTCACAGTTCTGAAACCATCAGCCTACACTCTTCTGTTCCAGGCTGACCCAGGACCATATTCACTCTCAGACTCCAGGAACTCTGACTTATCTTCCTGCCTTGGCTAGGACGGTCACTGTGTCTCTCTTTCCAGGAACATATAACATTCTCTGCCATCTCAAAACTTTAACAAAGGTCTTACTCCTGCTTATCCAAATCCCACCCACCCTCTGACAAAGTTTTCCCAAAGTCCAGTCGCAATGGGTCCTCTCTCTTCCCCCTGCCACAGAACTGTATTTAACCTTCCTGCACTACCTTCCTGTTGGTTCATAAACACTCTCTCCTGTGTGGAAAGTCAGAACAGCTGATGAGGAAGATAAGCCACATAGCCACATGATCCTGCCCAAACCACCAGACTTTCCAATCTCACACAACAGTTATGAAGCTCAAATGAGAATTTACAGGAAGGGGACTTGTTCATCTCACATTCGTAAGACCGTCCAAGTGAAGGATCCCTCTAATGCCTGCCAAGTGCAGATATTTCCCATCATGCACAACCCTAGAGAGCTAAGATCTCAGCAAACACCAATTATATGTAAGATAGTGAAAGAATACACTTCTCATGGAGCACCGGTCTTCACATTCTCCATGTAGCCACTCAGGAACTTCTCTGGTGCAAAATTTTAAGCGGTTGCACAAGTACGTAGGAGACGGGGTGAAAAACGGGGACACTGCTATTTTTGGCAAATCTGGTGGCAAGGTGCCCATTCTAAGGGTGGAACATAAACTGTAAGCCACAATCCGATCAGTGGGGCATAAGGAACAAAAGAACTGAGGAGTAGGGATGCGAGCAGAGTAGACCAGGGTACCAATGAAACAAACACCTGGGCAAAGAACGCTTTGGACCATAAAACCGGGACCACTGTCCTTCCTGACGCTCACTACCATCACAGCTGGGCGTGCCCAGGCTCGGGCCTGTGAGCCGTAAAATCGCAGCTCACCGGGCCAGACCGGGGCGGCCACTCCCCTCCGTGCTGGGCGAGGCTTACCAATCGAGATCTCCTGCGCGAAGGCCAGCGAGATGAGCAGCAGCGGCAGCCCCACGGCAATGCACGTAACCATCTTGTCCACGGCCAGCTCCAGTCGCAGCCCCTTGAACTTAGGCTCGGTGGGCTCCTTCAGCAAGAAATCGGAGAACACGTACTCCGTGGCCAGGTGGGCGATGGCCATGGCTGCGGCGCGCCAGGCTCGGCCAGGCAGGACTTGGTACTGCCGGCGTCGGGAGAGCTGCGCGGCTCCTTCACGCTGTCACTGGCCGGGCGTGCGGCTTTCGCTTTCCCTTTGCCTGCTCCCCAGATGCTCCCGCATCCCGCCTGCCTTTGTGTCTCGGTGCCTCCGGCTCCCAGCGACCCCGCCGGGCTCTCGCGCTCGCTGCCTCC